GAAAAATGTATGGTGTCCAAAAATTCTTTGAGGGCAAAGCTCTCAAAGAATGCTCTCCGCAGGAGCATTGGCTTCTTTACATGAAGAAGGAAAATTTTTTTTACCAATGTTATAACATTATATATATATTAATATATAAATAATTTTTTTAATTTGTATCACCATTAAAGGTCATGTGATATAAAAAATTTATTGCATTTTTGAGCATAACTTACAATTCTGAGTTTTGATTATTTTTCCCAAAATTGGCCACGAGGCGCAGCAAGTTGCGGGGCTAGGTGGCTTGCACCATATACCTTTATTTGGATTGATGACCAGACATTGTGCCAATCTTAAGATTGGGATTAGTCTAAATTCGGACTAACAATTTTTGCTAATCCAAACCAAATTCTTAAATTATTTATATTAAATTATTTTGATTCCCCTAATCTCAAATGAATTGGGGAGGTGGCCGAGCGGTCTAAGGCGCCACGTTAAGGCCGTGGTCTCGTAAGAGGCGTGGGTTCGAATCCCACCCTCCTCATTATAAATCATTCTTTTTTATTTTTTAATATTTATATTTATGTGTTTACAAATATATGATAGATAATGTTGTTATAACTTCTTAAAGATCGTTAATAAAAGAATACATCAAAAATTGGCTTTTATTTTTTATTTTTTTTTTGATACATACATATATATATATAAAAGCATAAATATTAATTGTTATATATAAATATTACTAAAAAATCTAAACAAATCTAAACAAATCACTTCTATTTGAATTTTCAAAATTTATTTGGAGTCATAGGAACATGTTCCAATGTGTCATCCTCAGAAATAAATGCATGATTTGGTATTGAGAAATGACCAGAATTAGAACGTATAATTGCTGAGTTATTTGATTGTAAAGAATTATTACGTGAAGGGCTATTACCGTTAGTATTATTATAATTCTTATAATTATGTGAAGGTGATATCGAAGAATAAGGACCAGAATGATTTAAGGAATCTTGTGAACTTTGATCTGTTGAAGTATTATAAGATGCTGATTTAAGACCCCTTTCTCTACGCATATTAGATGATGTTTTCCTAACGTTACGACGACGACTTACTACATTATTAGTATTTGGCGAATTATTACCACTATTATAGTCACTGTTATTACCACTGTTATTACCACTGTTATAATTATAATTATTGCCATCGTCATTGTCATTGTTGAAAGTTGTTATAATTGGTGGCAATTTTCCAACAGCTTTGTTTTTACTGTGACCATCATTATTAATAGTATCAATTTTATCATTTTCGCTGACATCAGCATCATCATCATCGTCGTCAGTATTATTGTCTGATAATTTATTGTTGTTTTTAGAAATGACTCCTTCTTCTTCAACACTTTCCATAGAATTTATTGATGACATAATTGTGACGGGAGAACCTCTAGGATTAGAAGTATCACTGCTATCACCAGCAGTATTATTAGTATTAGTAATTCTGGTTATGGAACTTTCACGAGAATGTATTCCCTTTCCGCTAATAGTGGACCCGCCGCCAACACTGTCTCTAACATGATTTGACGATCGATTAGAAAGTGAAGAATCTCTGACATGATTTGATGATGCTGATGATCTATTGGATCGAGAAGATCTATTTGATGCCAATGATTCTCTACTCCCAGATCGCTTCATCACCTCATCAACAAGACTCGATGATGATGTGTTGTTATTGGGATTTTTGAAAATGGTTTCATAGTGAAGTATTAGATCTTTGACTAGACGTTGGTTGTGTTTATCGTGAAGAAATACTGTGGATTCATTTGGTGGACGTAATAGAATGAATCCATAGATCTGTGCAAGTATTGTCGTATATGAATCATCAGCTTGCGTTGATACAATAAATCGGTGTAAATGTGATACAAATGCTTCCAATGTGTGATAATTTCCTTCTGGTAACGAAGTATTTAACAAATTTGCTACAGATGATAATTTTGTCTGTTCATCTTGATCCTCTGGACCTAATAACAATACCAAATTTTTGTTAATATTAATAACGATTTGACTGTTATAATTATTATAACAACTTACTTATTGAATATAACATTTTAACAGGTTCATAGAGCTCAAAAGTGAGAAGGCATTCTGGCAATTCCATAAAATATAATTTCAATATTCCAGCAACAATTGCTAAATCATATTCTCTTAATTTTTTTAATGTAATCTTTCCTCCTTTAAAATTATTAATATTATTAATTATTCTTTAAATGAACGAATGAGCGAATGAACGAACGAATAATATTGATTGATTAATTGATTAAGAGAGTATTTACCGTCATTTAGTTCTTCTCTCAGTGAATGAATTGATGCCAAGGGAACACTTGTTATCCATAAAAGTTTTTTATCTTTTAAAATGATATATTTTTAATTTATATTGTTAATAGTAATTAATTTAATATAAATAACTTATATGTCTCATATAATAAATCCAATCATATTCATACCATTATCACTCCAACTTGCCGATCCTATCATCGAATGTCACAAGTATATTAATTTATTTATCTAGTTATTGTTACTTAATAAATGATAAATTTTTGTTTTATTGATTATTTACCTTTAGTAATACAACTAAGGCATTTTGTGACAATCTGTGGAATAAATCTCAAATCATGTTTTGCTTTTTCTTCAAGTGGAACTCCAAATGTTTGATCTAATTCATCAAAAAAAAAAACAATTACTATTTATCTCCCAAAGTAAATAATATTTCGCCCGTATCATATTTACCATTAGCACTTCCACTATAATGATTATTATATAGAATAACTTGAGGAATAAATGGGCCAGTTCGATATCTTTCAATCATAAACTGAATGTCATGTTCTGGTTTCAATGCTTCGTGATAAATAAGTAATTTTTCTGACATTGATTGTATAGCTGATATTATACTACCAAAAGTTGCTGCATAATTTAGAAACGATACTTTGGATGTTTTGATACGATCTAATTCACTCTTTTCCAAGAAACTCATATGATCTATCTAATTTATTACGATTATTGATTAAAATATTGATATAAAGTAATTAATATAAATAATATATATCTTTTAGAAATAACACATTATATATATAATATACCATGCATTCTTCGAGATATAATCTTGTTCTGTCTAATCTTCTGACAGCATGTCTATAAGCCTCGTCTGCTTCATCTGCTTCTCTACGAGCTCGTTTATCAGGTGGCTGACTAGATGATGTAATAGTTGGGAAGCTCCAACCTTTTGTTTTGATAACTGTATCTTCTGTTTCCTTTAAATCAAATGATTTCTTCTTCCATTGAAAATATGACGAAGGACTCCCGGTAAATCTATTACCATATGCACCAACAAGTTTTATAAAACCTTGATCGGCCAAATCTTGCCCAATACTCTCAGCTTCACGCCAACTATCTGCAGTCGGATGATTTTCTTGTAACCATCTGGTAATATCTTCTCCGGAATAAACATCATTATACACTCCTAAAAAAGGTATCCGAACTTCTTGTGACTCAATCTCATCTCTCATACGTTCTAAAAATTTCATTATCTCTAGCTCGGTAAATGCCTGATCACCAAGCACAACTGCTGCCTTCATGCTTGCTTGTTGTTCCTTTTCTTGTTGTTTTCCCTTATCTGAAGTTATTTCCAACTTTTGCCTTTCCTCTGCTTCTCGATCTGCCTTCTCTTTTAATTCATCGGCAATCTGACATTTTGTGACATAACTAACGCGTGCCTTTTCAACCTCAGCGCTCATTTTATCAAATAATTTCAAATAGCCAGTTATCTCCTCATTACTTGATTTCAATCTTTTATTATGCTCTTCCGAATACTTCAGCAACGGTTGAAGCACTAAATCATATATGCTTCCTGCAAGCTCCAAATGTGACTCGCCTAATTTTCCACATTCACTTTTCACCGTCTCAAATGAACGCCTTAAAGATGCTCCGTCATCACGAAGAAATCCATCTTTACGACTGCTCGACTTTGACAAGTCACATAATCTTTTTCCATATGTTTCTTCTACGGAAATTCTTTCCTAGATAAACATATCGATCGATATAAACTCAATTAAGAAAATTAATTAATTGATTATTAATTAGTTAATGTACAAACCCTTAAGAATGTTATTATCTCTTCATTTTCTACTTTTCCTTGTTCGAGTTTATCATAAAGGATGTTCATCCCAGTAGCATAATGATCAGTTGTCCAAAACGAATTATCAAATCTTAAGCTTTGACCAGCTAATGTTGCTGCCATCTTTAATATTAAATTTAATTTAATTAATTAATTTCTAGTAATATTTATTGTTAAAGGAAAAAATTATTTTTTATGCTTGTAACACAAATTTGTCATAATTTCTTATTTTGTATACTAACTAATACTAAATAAATTTATCCCCGTTCTTTGTTTTTTTGATTTGGTAGAGGTTTATCCTAAATTTATCCTAAAATATACAATTTAAAAATCGAACTAACAATATAAATTTACATTTGGCAGAAACAAAAAGGCTGCTAAGAATAATTATTTTCAAACCAACCAATACGCTTCCTGGAAGAAAGTACCCGAACCTTGTTTTTATTAATATTAATTGCGCAAAATTTATACAATAAAAAAATATATAAAAAATATCATGAGTCCTGCATGTACAACTTTAATTACATAAAAGAAAAATGTACTTCTCCTTGTTGGATCATTTCTTCAAATCAATCCGCAAATCCATTTCTTTTTGGATTGATTTCCGAGTTTCTTTGCAGCACCCATTAAATCCCGACTATCCATCCCAAAAATACTCAATCAGGGCCTAAAAACTGTAATTCGGTTAGCTCCTCATTTTTTGTCATTTTTTAAATAATGACAGCTTATTTATTTTTAATTACTAGTCTCCATGAAAAAAAGTTCACGATTTTATTGCAATTAGGTTTTTTTAATTGAAATTTTACAACATTGGGAAGTAGATAAAATTTCATATGGCATGGTCGTTGCTGCGCCACGAGTTCTAATTTCAAAAAATGGCGTTTTCGTGGTTCGTTTAAAAAAATGAATTTTAAATACTTAACTGGGCCATGAAAATGTTCACCTGGGCGAAGAATGTGATGCAACTCAAAACTAATTAAAGATTTAGTCACTCTTTCAATAACGAATATTAATAATAAATAGTAATAATAATAATAATAAAAGGAGCCGGCCAAAAAAACCTAACCGGGTACCGGCCCAGCCCGGGTCCAACCTCTACCATAGACGAATAGTTTTACCTTCAGGTGTTGAAACCAATATAACGCCCTAATCATTTAACTCCTTTCTTTATCTTTTCTGCCGATCATTAATATTTGTTTGTCCTTCCATATTTTTTCTAATACTAATACTAATATTAAGTATCAAGTTATTTCTTTAGTCGAAAACGTCTTTTACAATTTTCTTTCGGTTCTCCTTGTGAATTCGCCAAGTTTTTATGTTTAGTTGTATCGTTATATTATTTCATTATTTTTCGATCTTCTTTGCAAGACTTTGCTTTTCTCTTTTCCCTTAGTATTAGTATAGTAAAAGATGAATATTCAGCCGACATCCTTTTGAATTTTGATCGTTTGAGATCAAACCTTTAATTTACAAACTCTCATCAATATTTTTTTTAAATCTTTGATTCCAATTTTGTTTAGTTATCCATACTATTTCTTTGTTATTCTTCCAGTTTATTGAAAAGAACTGTATAGTTTATAATTGAAGGTTCTATGATATTTCCATAATCCTGAGAACATTTCTTGTTTGTAATAGTTGTCAAAATCACTTCATATTATCTATTTACTCATAATTATATAATTATAAAAATCCAATGAATAACCATAAATTCTTTTCGTATAATAGCAGTGATGACGGCGATTATGAATTCATGACTCATCATTCTAGTTTAAAATCAATTACTTTTAGCAAAACAATCAAACAAAAAAAATTTTTAAAAAAAGGGACCATAATATATGTCTTCTTTTTTTTTTTTTAAAGACTTTAATTATTCTTTTATAAAAAATAGTGATCCTACAAATTCAAACTTTTTGGTCTTTCTTGTGCTTCCTGTATTTTACTTGTTGTCTCTTCAATAAGTCCTGTCCTAATAAAGTACGTGATTAATTGATGATGATCGAATAATCATCAAAAAAAATGTCGAATTTATTCTTACTCTTTGTCTAAAGCAGCTTCGACTTTGTGTAATTGACTTCCAGTAAGTGAATGAATTTCATTAGAATTAGAATTAGAATTTCATTAGAATTAGAATTAGAAAAAATAGAACGACTTGATTTTGAATGATTTGATTTTGACTGATCATATTTAGTATCTTTAAAACAAAAAATTATATATAAAAAAAGTTACCCGTTTCACTTTAGCCTTCAAACCATTTTCACCATTTAAATCATCTTGAACTCGATTTAGCATATCAAAATATTCATTTTCAAATTCTCCAAAAATTGGATTTGATTGAATTATTCTTTTTTGAAGAATTCGATTGGCCTTACTTCTAGAAGAGTATGTTTTTGTTTAATTTGTTTTACATGATCATCCAATTATGAATGAATAAGTTTATTCTCTTCCATGGCACTTTTAAGATTCTGTAAAGATCTGCTTGATGTTTTATCATTTGAAATTGAAATTTTATCCTTAAAATAAAAAATAACTCGAGTAAGTTAGTTAAATAACATACATACATGTAAAAGAATGTATTAATTAGCGTGTGAGCAGAAGATTTAATTGGTATGATTTCATTAACAGTTGTTAATGAAATTCTTCTTATCAATTCACTATTGACCCTATCAAATTCTTTAGATAATTGTTTATTACGATTTTGTAACAAAAGAAGACTTGGTTTGAGTTAATCCTTGAGAAGTTAGAACCTGTTGTAGTTTGGTGGAAATTCTAATTTATCTGTTTCAGGAAATCCCATACTTTTTAAACGAATAATATCATCAATTGACAATTTAATCGGTGCAGTTCTACTCTCTAAGGAAACCCTCTCAGTTGTAGCGTGGAAGTTAATATCAGAATCAAGTATTCTAAATGAGCATTATCAACTGCCATTAAACCTAATAAAGGATCTGGTTTACTGTTAAAATATAATATATAGTAATAGGTTAAACATATATATTTACTTTAAATATTTATTAAATGGAATATTTAAAATAAAAGTTACCTGGGAATTACACAAGCAATCCAACTAACTTCTGATTTTTTTGATTTTCAAAGAATTATCCCACCGATAAACCATTATTATCATCCTTATTATTATTATCACTAATATTATTATTTTTATTATTGTCATCAACAGTTGAGATAATTTCTTCCAAATGTTTTAACCAATTACCAAGTTGAATTGCATAAATACCTGCAAAATGACACACATAAAACATGTCTTTATATTAAGGGTCCTTAATAGAATTGGAATGATTTAATGAAGTTGTAATTCTATTTGAGAAGGAACTATTTGAAATTGGTACAACAAACCTTTTAATAAATCCTAAATCAATGCTTTCATATAATAAAAGAACAGAAAGATCGATGAATTCATGTGATCCTTAATAAAATAAATAAATTTGTATGTAATAAAAATTATTAATGTTATAAATATTATTTATTAATTATATTTTATTTCCAATAAAAAGCTATCTGATAAAATAATAATATACCTGAATTTTTCAAAACGCTTCAATTTTATCAACTTCAAGAAAAATATCCAATCTACCACTACTAGAAGCTATGACAATTATACTAGTAGATTGGTTATTCAAATGGATTATATCACTAGCATCAAAGGGTGATGTGATAATTCCAAAGGATTTGACCTCATTGCAAATGGTCCTTGTAACAATAAATCATTTTGAACATTTGCAGGAGAAGAAATTTTTTACCTTGTATGATGATGGTGATGGTGATGGAAGTTTACTAATTTGTTGAAAAACATCACAAATCCATCTGTATTGCAAATGATATTGATTATCATATATTCGAAGATTTGAATCAGACGGTAGACGTTTTTTGGCTTCATATTTTTTAAAAATTATACAGCTAATTGTTCAATAAGTATCCTACAACTAAAGCTTTAGTTCATTAAATTGTTATATTATTAATAGTTAGATTGATTTATAAATAAATAAATAAATAAATGATTGATTGATTGATTGATTGATAAATAAATCAAATTAATACATTAGTGTTTTGCAATAGAAAAAAGCTTCTTACCAATTTTTTGATACTATTGGACACATCACATAAACATCTCCATTATTAAATAAAACACATACAATAAAATTAGACCAGCCCTTATCACCTTGACCAAAACTAAAGGAAATTGCTTTTGATGTTTCAGTGCCAAAAGAAAAAGCCTTTTCTGGGTTTTCACTGAAACAAAATTTTTGTTCTGGTTCATTACAATTAGATATATTGTACATTCTATTATTTTTACAGATAAATAAAGAGTAAATAAATTTAAATAAAATAATAAAATTTGATTTTTTTATAATAAATAATCATATAAATAAATGTAATATATTGCCTTAGTATTGCATCTTTAGTCAAAACCAATAAATGAGACATGCTAGTTAATGGATGCCATAATACCTTTGAAATAGGGCCTGATCCCTTCCATATGATGAAAAGATCCAATTAGATATGTTCTATTTATTTTGATAATTATTGTATAAATATCAAATAATTTTTCAAATATATAAAAGTAGTTATCAGTAAATAAATATGCTAATGAATTAAATAACCATATAAAGTAAAATCTTAATGATATTTGTGCTTTATTTTGTGACTTTGATATAATAAAATTTAGCTAGTGGAAACGAATTACCACCGATTCATAATCACCAACAACAGGATCACTTTTACTTTTTCTTTAAAATTTAATACTAAAGATCTAATTTTAAATTTAACCTTTGGTGTATTAAGTATTATATATTTAACGTTTGACATCCATTTTGGTATACGATGATAATTAACCTTATCATCATGATTGTCATCATTGTCATTACTAATATCATTATCATTGTCAGAAATTTTCACACAATTCATTATTCTCACTTGCATGTTGCCAAGCATCATTAAACTCCCATATTTAATATTCATATTTCAGATCCTACAGCTACTATAAGATTATTTTCCTCAATGACTATACATGATTGTTTTCTTTTTGGTTTTCCATAATTCTCCGATCCTATTATTGCTTTTTATTTTTTTGGTTGGAAAGATAATTTTTTAAAATTTTTATTTTTTGTTTATAGAGACAAGTTGATTTACCAATTGTATTTGCTAATTTTACACTGTCAGAATATAAAAAATCGGATGGCCATTAATATAATCCAACCAATTTAAATTTTTATTCAATTAATTATATAATTAAATTAGTTTTTATTAATGAAGAAAACAATGTGATCTTTGGTAAATGTAAAATTTTTGTCACATGATAATTTTGTATTATTAAATAAATATTTAAGAAGTGTATATCTTTTTAAAAATATAGATTATTTTCATCAATTTTTAATATTTCATCATTATTACCGTTATACGGTTCAGATACAGTTATTACTGATTCCTCTTCTGTTTCGTCCTCTTCAAAACTTGAATTTTCTGATATTTTAAATTTATTGGGATTTAATGCTATTATAGCTTCAATATTTTGCAAATCTATTGCAATGTCAACTGGTAGCTAATTATATATGAATATATGATGTTAGAAAAATATTAGAAGACAAAATAAATAAAGAATAGTTTTTAATTACCTTTCCATCTTTATCCTTCAAATTGATATTAGCGTTTCTTTTTAAAAGAGTTGAAATTCTTTTAATGCTATTGCTACCACCACCACTACTATTAGTGCCATCGTTATTACTACTATTATTACTATTATTACCATCCTTATTATTTATTGTTGCTGCTGCATAATGAAGTATGCTTCGACCATCCTTATCAACAGAATTTATATCAACTTGCCATAAAAATAAAAATTCCAATGCTAATTCATCATTTCTTTGAATAGCCTGATGTAATGATGTTGTGGAATTTTTTTCTTGATTTTTCCAATCAACATCAGCGCCAAGTGCTAGATATCTTAAGGCTTCATATAGATTTGTTTGATTCATAGCATTCCAAAATTCCTAATGATATTATTATAGTTGGACAGTTAGTGTGTGCAAGTAAATAAAATAAAATTTGTTATTAGATATTCTAATATCGGGGACTTTTCAATAGAAACAGAAAGAGCTCCGAAAAAAGCAATTTTGTGTTAGTGTGATTTCATTCCTATACATGTAACCCTTTATGTAGAACATTTTTGGCTTAGAAATTATACCCATTTTGCATAATGGTATTTTAAAATTTTTAAAAACAATAACAAATTCAGAGTTTCCCCATGTTTCTATTGAAAAGCCTGCGGATTATAATATATATTACCATGTTGATAATTTCTAAAGAATTGGAACTTTCATCATCTTTTCGAGCTACAAATTCTTTTTTTACATATTTATCAGTAATAAATTTATCCCTATATTATTAATTAATATTAAATTTATTATATTGTAATAGTATATGAATATTGAATTCTTCAAATAATTAAATAATATAAAAACCTTTTCCATGATGGATCTGTAATTATTTTATTTTTATAATCCTCGTCAAGTTTGGCTTCAAATATTTCATTTATTTTGGAATTCCCTAATTTTAGCATTATATCTATTGATTCTTGTTCCCACTTGTCCAACATTAATGATCTAACCTTACTAATATGAACGCCTAAACTACGATGAACTCCGGAACATTCAATACACAATAGAATACCATAATTCGTACTTGCCCATTGCGGATCTATTTAATTTATTTTATGGTTAATAATATATGAATATTAATAATAATATTAATAATAATAGCAATTATTAATTATAATTTAATTATAATTGTTCTTACCGCTAGTTCTACAATCTGCACATTTTGAATTTCCAGCAATTTCTTTAATTTTATTGATAAAATTATATTTTAATTGTAATTCTTCCTTAGTAAGGCCACTTTCTCTAAACTCAAAATCATCAACAATGTCATATTGAAGCAATTCCTAATTAAAATTAAAATAAAATTGAGAAATATAACTTGAAATGATTGGCAACAAATTTATTATAATTTGTACTATTTACTTGAGAAATATTGCTGTCGACTTTTTGAGATGATGTTGAAACATTATCTGAATATAATGCCATTGTAGCTGCTGCATTTAAACAATTGATCCAATCTTCCATGTCTTCTTGATTTTCAGCTTGTAAAATATAAGTTCTTTAAAAAAGTATTAATTTTATCATATTATATATATAAAATAAAAAAAAAATAAATTAATAAATATAAATACTTTATTTATATATACAAACCATATTTTAAACATAAATTATTAAATCTAGTCAATAATTAGTAATTTTAAAACCTCGTTGGTGATATTATCACAAAACAAAATCTTTTGTCAATATTGTCAATTGGTTTCACATGGCAAACTCTAAGCTTTATAACACCAGAAATTTCGTTGTTTGGAATCTTGTGATATATTAACATTTAGTTAGAAATAACAAATAAATAAATATTTTTTTTTTTAGAAAAAATAAATGAATATTATACTTTAATATTCCTGTTACGATAATATAGTAATTCTCCTGAAATAGTAAAATATTTACGAGACCATGATTGCATAACTCTTTTATCAATCTTCATAAACAGATATCCAGATTTATTGCTACAATTATTATAGTCATTATGATTATCGTCATTGTTGCTATTGTCATTTATAGATTCCTGATTTAAATTAGATTTATCATCATCAACATTCACTTTTCTAATTGATTTTTTAAAAGAATTTAATGGATTGTAAGTATCTTTTGCCATCTAATGAATTTTATTAATAATATTATTAATAAAATTAATGATTTATTTTTATTAGAAAATATTTATAAATTATAATAATTATTAACATTTATTTACCTCCAATATTGATTGTTTGATTTTATCAGAAGTCTTTAAATCACTATCATATTTCGACCTTGTCTAATAATAAGACAATAGTATTAAATATCAAATATTAGGATAAATGTATTACTGATACTTTTGAAATCCAAATGTATATAACTAATTCTTTAAAATATTAACCTCATGAAGTAATTCTGTAATAGAGAATAAAATATTATTATAAATATTATTATATAACATTAATAATTATTTATTTTATGAAACATAACTTGTCACATTTTTCATGCCAGGCTCAAGATCCTTCATAGTTTCATAACATTGATGATAAAAAGATTTTCCACTAAACATTAATGCTAATATCTGATAAAAAAAAAAGTAACATGGTTCAACTATTATTATTACTATGATTATTATATGCATCATTAAAAAATTATATTTTTGCCCAATATTTATTATATTAGTTGAATAATTGACAACACTTTACATATTCCATGAATTCAAATTGCTTCTTTGCTTCTAATTGATTTAATTTCAACACATAATCAATATATCTAAGATGTAATTCTTTTCTGGTTTTTGAAACTTCAACTGAAGCCTTAATAAAATTAATTATTGATTAATGATTAACGAATTGATTAAATGACAAAAAAAGGAATATATTCCTGCATTCAAAACCAAAATTTAAATAAATACTTCATATATTTTCGTACTAGAAGGAGTTTTATTCATATAATTATGAAGTGCAATATCGGCTTCATTACTCGCTTTCTCAAATTTCTTTTTCATCGCCTAATACAATAAGATCATATCATTAAAAAAAATTTTTTTTTCTCAAGAAGGGATATATACATTCTAAGAGTGTGTGTATATATATCTAACCTTTAATGGTGATATTTCATTCTTTTTAAAAGATTCAAGTGATTCAATAAACATCGAGTTTACACTTGAATTCTTTATTTAAATTTAACAATATTATTAATAAAATACTTGACTAAAAAAGTGAGAGAAAACAAAAACAGATTTACATACAAGTATTCCGCGACTCTTCTCAATTTCTTGTAATGATGTTGAATACTTTATAAGAAAAGATTCTAATATAGTCAAATATTATTTTAATATCATTAATTAGAAATAGAAAAGACAAGGAAACTACTAAATTTTTTTACTTATTATTGATTCGGGCTGTTGTATTGCGAAATTTTTAAGTTCTTCAGCAAATTGAAATTGTTTTCTGGTATACTCTAAACATTTAATTAAATATAGTGGTTAATGATTGATTGATTGAATTCGTTAATTTAACAAAAACTGAAATACCTGAAGCAATTTCTACGCTAGATCTTGCCAATTTGACAAGATTCTCTATACAAGTTTCTAAACCGAACAAGGAATTTTCACAACTAAACAGTTCCTTACGAAACTCTGGAGGATCTTCTTGACATAAATAAAGATTTAATGGCGAGTTCATAATTTAAATATTAAATATATTGAATCCTTGAAAGTGTATAAAATTCGACTGTGCCATATATATACAACAATCTCCATATGATTTCCATGTTTGGTTAGCTCCGCCAGGATTGACGTGATTTTTCTGGTTCACAAAGTCATGTGCTTTACAACAAAAAAACATATAATTTACTTGCTACACATTCATGACACTTGGCGCCGTCATTCTGGCTAACCAGTCATGGCGTAGAAGTAGATTGGCGTTTTTTGTTGTTGTAAATACACCATAACATTGTCCTTCTGGTTCACTAGCAAAGGTCATGTGCTTTACAACAAAAAAAAACCATACAATTTACATACTACATATTCATGGCATTTAGCACAGCCCCTTTGGCTCACTAGTCATGGTGTAGAAGTAGACTAGCGTTTTTTGGTTGTTATAAATACACATCCAACATCGCCCTTTTGGTTCACTAGCAAAGTCATGCGCAACAACTTAAAAAAACGTGTGCGTGTGTGGTGACAATGATGCTCTTGGAGCGAATAAGGAACCTTGATATGATGATGATGATAACATTCTTGGTGTGCATTTTTATGCGTATCTAATGATGACAATGACAACGACAATGATGGTAGTTGCGTAATTGGCTAAAGAATTTGTTTTAATGCATCATTAGGTAAATTAAAAAAAATTTTAATAATTACAATGGTATTGATTATTTCATTATTATTATTAGTATATAGTAATAATATTAGATCATCATTACTATTGTTGTTGTTGTTGATATTGTCATTTGCTGCTTTTAGTTGCTGACGAAAGTCGCTTTAATATTTGAATGTTAAAAGATTTTTTTTTGAAAGAAAAAAATTTAATATCTAGTTATAACAAAAAATCGTTTTACAATTTGCTTATTATTTATTATTATTATTAGTATTTGTTGTTGTTGTTGTTGTTGTTGTCATTGATGTTGTTAGTTATTGTCGTCATTGATGTTAGTTGGTTAAAGACACTTTAATTGAATTTTTTTGAAAATAATTTTATTCAACGCATAATAACAACAAAGGTATTTAATTGGAAACAAAGATTATTAATTATACAATAAAACATATTTTTTGATCTTGGAAAAAACGTAAAATCATTATATTTGATAATTGGTAGCATTTATGCATTGTCAACTTATTGATAAATCTTAATTTCTTTTCACCAGGATAATAACGTCATTATGTAAGGTATCAAAACTTATATTTTATGAGGTTTTCCTCCACCAGAACAATAATATACATCATCATTTGGAAAAATTAAACTTACATTCCGTGGGGTTTTCCTTCATCAGAATAATAACGTATATCGTGTAAGGAATTTGATACGTTTCCGAATGTATTTTAAAATTTGATAACTTTCAAAACTTACATTGGGTACGTTCGCTCCGTATTTAAAATTTACTCTTTACATATATTGTAATAGTAAATAAATTCTCACGTAGGCTTGAGAGAGGCACATTGGTTTATTTTGTAGTCAAAAAAAAGCTCAAGGTGGAAAACCCACCGGGTGTTTTTTTTCAGATTTCCCTCATTCAAACAATTATTATTGATGACAATGATAATGACAGAACTATTCGTAATGTATGTAAATAATTTGGTGGTTGTATTCATCGTGATGTCCAACTTAAATGATATATAATAATAATAATCGTGTTGGATATGTAAAAACTATTTATTATCACCAGCATAAAAGTATATATTAATATCAGTATTGATTCTTTTCTTCCAATGGTTTATTGATTATTTAAGTGAATCGGTTAATTAGATATTGGAAGTAGCTTTAAAAGAACATTATTTGGAAATCCTATGGTTTAATTTAGAAAAGGTACTATACTACTAAGAAAATGAAATATAAGATATAATAATAGTCAACTATAGTTGTTTGCCATAATTGTTTTGGAGAAAAGTAATTGGAAATAATTACGGATTCTCAAGTTTCTTTGTATGAAAGAGCACAATATAACTACATTAATACATTAATATGCCATTTGACTTTAAAGAGTTCAAACAGAAATAACTATTAAAGTTAATTATTATATTATTATTATGGCAACTATGAAAAACTAATTACGGCATATGGCGACGATCGCAATTTTTACAAAGAAATTTGACGGATTTCAATGCTGCAATGAAAGATTCCGACTATTGATTCGTTGGTTTCTTAGGAGGTTTGCCTTTTTTTCGTTGCTTCTTTGTCTTCATAATTAATGCATGAATTTTAGAACAACCAATCTCGTCCAACTTTTTTCTTGCGGTAAGAAAATAGGAAAAGTTATTTTAATTATTTGCACCCTCTCTAATTTACCAACTATGAAATCTCTTACGTTTCCATTAATTTTATTAATATAATTATTTTCTTATTAATATCATAACATACACACACAAGATGACCAATTTGTCATGGTAGGCTCCAACTTCCCCCAATGATTGTCTTTTTAAGACATATACAAACCTCTTACTTGCAAATAACGTTATCTATTTCTTAAGGGAAAGATGTTTTGAATCTGAACAATTCAAATTCTGCATCTATCATACCATTTTTTTAAAAAAAATTCTTTCTAAGAAACAAATGATAGCGAGGGAAAAAAATATCTTGTACATACATGTATGCATATATATATATATATATATATATTAAAATCAGATTTTTAAAGAAAATTATCATTTACATTACACTATTAATAATAATAATTTCATTGTCACAAACTTACAAATGAAAAATGAAATAAAATCTGACATGTTACTATTATATTAATATACATGTCAAAAAAACAGACAAAATTCAAATTCTATATCTCCCTAATTGTGTATGAGAATAGTTTATAACCTATTACTATATTTTGCCTATTATTTAAAATAACTAAAAAATTGAAATAAATACAATTGGATTGAGTTTAATTGCTTTCAAATTTTTTTTTAATGGAGCGTGAAGTTTTATTGAATTAGCTTCTTTAATGTAAACATTAAATTAAATTAAATTATTATTATGCATTCCTTTTTCGAAAATCACCTTTTTTTAAACAGAAGTAACGATTATTTCTCACTGATATATTTTTTATAATAATATTTATATTGAAAAAAAATCATATTTTAAAAACTTTGGGTATAGATATTAATATTAATAAATCTAGGAACGGTACCTGAAAGTTTATAACATCAGACAGAAGAGAATTAGCATGGAAAATTTATACTGAATGCTTCTTCAGCTACTTTTGACAGTGAAAATCTAAAAAGTTATTTTTAAAATCAGTCAAAGAAATCAAAGAACTTTTAAAAAATAAAAAAAGAATATTCTAGAGAAAAGTTTATTTATATTTTTGAATTAGAGAATGCAATTTATATAAATTGGAACCAAGAGAATGATACCCTGTGTGAAGTGTGTATTGATCTACACTTTTCACTACTTGGACATCTGAAAATAGATAGTTGATGGTTTTATTTAAGAATTTCAACAGCTTTCATCTCTTCCAAACAAAACTATAGGATGAGTGCCTTATGAGCAATTTTTTGATATACAGAAGGTACATTGCTGGGTGGACAAGAGGAAATATATATGATTAAATAATTCAAGTCCAATAAAATCTTTTTTTAAGATCCTTTTTATTTAAACCATTTATTTTAGTTAAATTAATTGATTTGATTTATGTAATTAATCACAAGCATTGAATTAGGGAATTTAAAAGATTATTTACAAAAAAAATCATTCAAATGTTAAAAGATAAAGTCAATATTTTTTACCTATTTATGTGATGTATTAAATTCTATACATGAAAAAGATTTAATCCATTGTGATTTACACAGTTATAATTAATGAAAGTGGTGTTAGTTTTATTACAGATTTAGGATTATGTGGACCAGTTGATCAAATAAAATCTATGGAATTGTATAACATATTGCAACAGAACCATTTAGAGGACATAAGAACATAAAAGAATCAGATATTTATAGTTAATGTGGGAAAAAATTTGCAGAAAGCTCATAATCATTGCTTATACTTGGAGGCTTACAACACAAATATTACCGTTATTCACAAATGATGCAAAAGTGTTGGGATGTGGATCTAGCCAAAAGACCAACTATTGGAGAGCTTGAGGTATTTGCCAATAATAAATTTCGTAATATTTAATATTGGTGGCAGTAGCAGCAGTAGTAGTAATGATAATAATAATAATAGTAATTCACAACAAATCAGGGTTGGCAAATGTGTTATCCATTGTTGATCCATTGGGTCCATTATAATTATATTTAGTGTTTTATTAATGCCAATGGACCAGTCAATTTGCCAACCCTGCAACAAATTCACAAGTCACACCATCAGCATATCATACAAGTAGAATATTAAATGACGAATTTGCTAAATTGAATTTAAGTAATGATAGCTTATTAAATTATGAAATAATTAATTTAAATATGATTTAGTTGATAGGTTAGAGTCGGAGAATTGTTGATGGGTAGATAATTATTTTTTATTATCTTTTAAATTTATTTTTGTTTTTATTCAAAAATAAATTTTCCAATTCAGAGTAAATGTTAAATGTAAAATGAACAATATTACATTTCGTTTGTCATAAATTCTTCTTGAAGTTGATTGTATTGTTGTGTCCCAGGGTGATTGATTACCAATTCATCATTTAAAGTCCGAAATCAAGGGATGAAGATGGCGAGGATGGATAATATAAAGTTTTAATTGAATTTGAAATCAAAGTATTTTAAATGAAACAATCTAAAAAACGTGTCAAAGTGTAAAAGATTTTGTTATGAAATTTGCATTCGGATTTACTTTTTTTTTTTTTATTCACTCATTTATACTGTATTAATTAAGGAAATTCCCAAGACTCCGAATGAAATTGAGAAACAATTGGGTAAATTTCGATTTGCAAGAAATACAAAAAAGAAATTTTTTTTTTAAAAATATAAATATTAAAAAGTTAAAATGTCCTTCAAAAAGTTATTAACACCAGGCAGAGAAAATTTAGTATA